GTGGTGGGCACTAGGCCACGGTGTGCTTTTCATAATCACACTTAATCCTCCCACAACCTTGCAAGAAGACATATTTGTGCCTATTTTACAAGAAGGAGGACAGGTGCTCAGAAACTGGACCTATTCACAGCCAAACGACTGTCAGGCAAATGGAAAAGCCAGCACCCCGACCCAGAATGAACGAATCACTAATTATTTTTGTGGTTGCTCCTGTGACACCGGAGACAGGAAGCATAGGGAAAAATTGAGAAAGGAAGACTAGCAATTCCATTTTCCCTAATTATGCTGGTGCAAGAAAAATTCAATTTTTTTTTTTTTGAGTCAGGGTCTCACTCTGTCAACCAAGCCGGAGTGCAGTGGCATGATCACATCTCACCACAGCCTTGAACTCCTGAGCTCAAGCAATCCTCCCACCTTGGCTTCCAAAAGTGCTGGGATTACAGGCATGTGTTACCATGCCTGGTTGGAAATTCAATTTTTGATGTATACAAGTATCAGATTGGGGGAGGGAAGGGTGGATTTAATTAGATGCTTTTATAAAAACATTTGCTAACAGTTCAGAGCTATCCAGAAGTAAAAAGCAAGACACATGTAATTTCATATAGTCTAGTAGTCACATTAAAAAAGAAAAAAATAAGTGAAATGAATTTTAGTAAAATATTTTATTTAACTCAATATATTACCATTCCAACATGAAGTCAATATAAAATGTTGAGTTAGTCTACAGTTTTTTGGTACTAAATCTTTAAAAACCAGTGTATACTTAGAGGTCATTTATTTTATTTTATTTATTTTTATTTAATTTTTTTTTTTTTTGAGTTGGAGTCTCACTCTGTCACCCAGACTGGAGTGCAGTGGCTGTTCCTGGCCACCGTAGCCTCACCCTGCTGGGCTCCAGCGATCGTTCCACCTCAGCCTCCCGAGTAGCAGGAACTACAGGCGTGTGTTACCACACCTGGCTAATTTTTTTGATTTATTATAGAGATGAGGTCTCGCTGCACAGGCGGGTCTCAAACCTGCGGGCTCAGGCAATCCACTCACCTCAGCCTCCCAAAGGTGTGAGATTATAGGCTGAGCCACCGAGCCCAGCTTTATTTTATTTTTTTAATTAAACTTTTTTTTTTTAGTTGGATCTCACTCCATTGCCCAGGCTGGAATGCAGTGGCATGCTCACGGCCACCCTAGTGTCAACCTGCTGGGCTCTGGCAATCTTTCTGCCTCAGCCTTCCAAGTAGCCAGTACTACAGGTGCGGAATACCACACCTGGCTAATTTTTGATTTATTGTAGAGATGAGGTCTCGCCAAGTTGCCCAGGCTGGTCTCGAACCTGTGGGCTCAGGCAATCCACTCGCCTCGGTCTCCTAAAGTGCTGGGATTACAGGCTGAGCCACCGAGCCTGGCTAGAGGACATTTCAATTTGGATTGGCCACATTTAAGATGTTTGATAGCTACAGGGAGCCACTGGCTACCCTAGGAGACAGCGCAGGTGTAGACAGTAATGAGATCCACGGAATCTGATGTACATCTCAGGGTATAGATAATAAAGAACTGAAAGGGAAAAATCCATGGAAAGATGAACTGGGAGAGACTCTCCGGATGAGATACTGTTTGAGGTCTTTCCCTAGTAACAGGTGGCACCAAAATGTTGAAAGGGGCAAATTATTTGGGCAATTGGAAATGAATAAACAGAGCCTCTCTGTCTCCATCTTCTGCCACGGCCAACAGGTCACATGACACCTGGGAGCTTCAGAGGGGCCCAGACTCTGGCGGCCATGAGGTGGTGGAGGAGACCCATCCAGTCTCCACAAGCACTAGGAGAAAACCTGCTGCTTACTCACAGATGGTGTTATGATTCATCTCCCTCCTGTATCTGAGTTCAAAAAGCAAACTGGGCTGGGCAGTGGCTCACGCCTGTCATCCTAGCACTTCTGGAGGCTGAGGCAAGAAGTTTGTTTGAGCCCAGGAGTTTGAGATCAGCCTGGGCAACATAGTGAGACCTCATCTCTACAGAAAGCTAAAAAAATTAGCCGAGTGTGTTGGTGTGTGCCTGTAATCCTAGCTACTTGTGAGGCTAAGATAGAAGGATCTCCTGAGTCCAGAAGATTGAGGTTGTGCCACTGCACTCCAGCCTGGGATACAGAGAGAGACTCCAACTCAAAAAAAAGCAAACTCATGCAAAAGGCAGACAAGACCAGCAAATTTGGCTACAGTTGAAGTTTTACTTTTTGATTGTTAAGTACATTTTGTGACTTGACCCCAAGAAGTAAGTGTTCATCTGAGGAGGTAGCCAGCAGTGATTCTCTGTTATTGATGTTGGTATTAACAGAAGGAATGGATTTTTTTTTCTTTAAAAGAACATTCTTATATAAAAATATTCATGAAAAATATAGCCATTATTATAATGTGACTTTGTAATACCCACTCCAATATACTTAGGGAAGGTGGGGAACTCAATAATACTAACAGATGACTGATAGCATTTCATTAAAAAATATATAGACTTTTGAATAATTGAATGAATGGAAATCCATTTTATTTAAATCATTTCATTTTGATTGTAGAAATTGTATCTGTAAATCTTCTTTCTAACATTTACATTCTTTCTTAAAATATATGGTAGTAGAGTGAGATTTTAAACATTTGGACTGGCGTGGTGGCTCATACCTGTAATTCCTACACTTTGAGAAGTTGAGGTGAGAGTATTACCTGAGGCCAGGAGTTCAATACCAGCCTCCTGGTATAACAAGACCTCGGATCTAAAAAGTTTTTAAAAATTAGCCAGGGATGGTGGCATGGACCTGTAGTCTCAGCTATTTAGGAGGCTAAGGCGGGAGGATCCCTTGAGCCCAGGAGTTCGAGGCTGCAGTTAGCTATGATTGTACCACTGCACTCTAGACTGCGTAACAGAGCCAGACTCCATCTCAAAAAACAAAATAAAACAAAACAAAAAACACTCCAAAACAAAAAACCAGGCTTGGGCAACCCATTCAGGTCCCCTCCCACTGTGAGACCTTTTCTGTCTTCTCAATAAATCCTATTTTCTCAAAAAAAAAAAAAAAAAATCAGGCTTCATGTAGTTTTTAAGACATCAGTGATTTTCGTGTCAGTGCTATCTAATTACGCTGTAAGCTTTGTTACCTGTCAGTTTGTAAGATGTTCTTAAAAATGCAACTGGTGCCCTACTGAAAGCCCAAGCATTGTGTTTCCATTTCCTATGAGGAGAAACACGCAGAGAAACACCTTTTTCCCTAACATTGACCTACATGAGCTCAAGCCTCCTCCCCTATCCACTAGCAGATTTGGTGAAGATAAATTCCCTTACAGGATCTGGGCTTAGCCCTCAAGTCTGGGGCTGAGGCAGGGGTTTGCCCAGGGTGCAAAGAAAATTATTTCTTTAAAGCTCCTTTAGGGCAAGCACAGTAGCTCACACATGTAATCCCAGCATTCTAGGAGGCTGAGGCAGGCGGATTGCTATGACCAGCCTGGGCAACATAGTGAGACCTCATCTCTACAAAAATTAAAAAAAATTGACCAGGCATGGTGACACATACCTGTAGTCTCAGCTATTTGGGAGACTGAGGCAGAAGGATCACCTGAGCCCAGGAGGTCGAGGCTGCCGTGAGCTGTGATTGTGCCATTACACTCCAGCCTGGGTGACAGAGTGATACCCAACTCAAAAAATCCAAAACAAACAACAAAAAAACCAACTCCTTTAGGAATGAGTGGGAGAGGAAGTGGGAGGGGCTATCTCATAAATAATAAATCTCATAAATGTTTACTGTTTATTTGTAAGTCACACTCCCTCTTCCTACAAGTCATACACTTATTTATCTGCCTTGAGCTGTCTCCTAAGTTCCATGACCCTTCATTTTTTTTTTTTTTTGAGTTGGACTCTCACTCAGTCACCCAGACTGGAGTGCAGTGGCCGCTCCCGGCCACCGCAGCCTCCCCTGCTGGGCTCCGGTGATGATCCTTCCGCCTCAGCCTTCCAAGTAGCCGGAATTACAGGTATACGCTACCACGCCCGGCTGATTTTTTGATTTATTGTGGAGATGAGGTCTCACTGCCCAGGCGGGTCTCGAACCCGCGGGCTCAGGCAGTCTACTCACCTCAGCCTCCCAAAGGCGTGGGATTACAGGCTGAGCCACCGAGCCCGGCTACCTTTCATTTTTTTGAAAAACAAGACTGTTTTGGCTCCCTGGACTTTTACATACTGTTCTATTCTTATTTATTTATTTCATTATTATCATCTTTTTGAGTCAGGGTCTCATAGTATTGTCAAGGCCAGAGAACAGTGGCACAATCCCGGCTCACCACAGTCTCGACCTCCTGGGCTCAGGCAATCCTTCTGCCTCAGCTTCCTGAGTAGCTTGGACTACAGATGTGTGCCATCATGCCTGGTTAATTTTTATTTTTTGTAGAGAATAGGTATCACCATGTTGCCCAGGCTGGTCTCAAACTCCTGGGCTCAAGCAATTCTCCCGCCTTGTTCTCCCAAAGTGCTGGGATTACAAGTATGAGCCACTATGCCCTGCGCATACTGTTGTAAACATAATGCATTGTTGATAAGAGTCACCCTTACTTTTTTTTTTCTAGTTCATAACTTGATGGCCCAAGCGATCTCCTATAAAATAATCAGAACTTATAAGAAAGCATGTTTTAGAAGAAGAGTACAGAAGAAAGGCAACAGGGAGAAATCACCATCCTTTCATATACTACATGGAGGATTAAGAAGGTCTTTGTAGGGTGAACGATCACGGAACTCCATTCTCAAGTGGTATTTGTACATGGTTTTGACCAAGTTTTGGGTCAAATCCTGACCCATAGGAGATGTACAGCCACATCCAAAAGCAGCCCCTGTAGCAGGCTGGCCCACAGGGCGCCTTCATGTCCTTACCCCAACCTTGGCAAGCCCACACTGTTATGCTGGTCAAAGGAAAAACAGTTAGATCATCAAACACATGCACATCGGCATCTGACTTTTCAGTTTTTCAGATTACCTTGATTCGGGGTATTTGGTGAGGGTGGCCAGGCTGCTGGTGTACATGTGGCCGCCCACGTCAATGTGGACGGGCGCATTGGATTTTGTGAGCTGTGCTGGAGTAGGGATGCCTTGGTTGTTCAGTGGAGACGCAGGGGATCTAGTGATCAGAGGTCTTGACATATTGGGTCGACTGTCCTACAGAGAGATAAGCAGGTTAAGACATTGTTTCTCTTTTCAGTGAAAAAGAAATGAAATACGAGGGAGGACCCAAAAAACCCCGGTATTTATTTATAAAAAATTGTGTATTTATTCTTATGTGTTTAAACTTCAGTCACCTTCAAAGTTCTATTTGATGTAATACATCTATTGAGATACTTTTTCCACTGCTCAAAACAGTTTTTGAGCTCGTCCATTTGGACGCCTTTTAGTGCTTCTGCTGTTTTTTGTTTCACCACTTCCACATTGGCAAAACATTTCCCTTTAGGGACTTTTTTCATCTGGGGAAATAAAAAAATTATCTCAGGGTGAGATCAGGTGAATACGGAGGATGGGGCATGGGGATCATGCCATTTTTGGTCAAAAACTGCTAAACACTCAGCATGGTGTGGGATGTGCTCTGGTAAATTATTCATCACGAAATGGTCAAACTCATTGAAAGAATCTTCAAAAGATATTCACTGAAGTCAAACTCAGACTCTCACAACAACACTAGCTGGTACACTGATGGGTTTTACTGAGTGAGGAAAGCCTGTAATATAAAGGGCCCACCCTCCAAAAGACAATTCCGAGATTCTGGGGGGTCCCCTTGTACATATATCATCAAGAACAAACCTGTGATTAATGCTGATATTTAATCAGTAATAAAATCTGAAAAATCAGCAAGGTCTCGCTTTTGTTATAAGGAATATCCAAAAAACAAACTCTGCAGCAAAGAACAGGAAAACTTCACATGCTCAGAAATAAGGAGAACTCATGTTTGCTTCAAATAATTCTGAAGGCTATGAGGGTGTATTATACTAATAAATTTTCGCATTTAACAATTGGTAAATGGCATGTGGAGATATTCTATTCAGTCCAAATAAAAAGACAATCAACACTTAAAATAATACACATCTAAATAGAATACGTATGACTTATCCTTCTCATGGAAAGCTTCCTCATTGCTATGTACTTGGAATAAAAACAGACTTTTGGTCCGTGTGTTCTACAAAATGTTTTCTTACATTTCTATTTTTCAAATTAGGAAAAAGAGGTCATAGCTGGTCTAGCTATCAGCTCCCATGCTTTAAGAGGCATCACAAGTTTCTCAGTCAATAGAATTTTTAAAAAGTCAACCCATCCCTACCCACCTGATCTCTGCTTCTGTCTCTCCTGATAAGACTGTATGCCTGAGGATGCTTTGAAAAGAATATACCCTCAGATGATAAATCTGTGCTTATAAACCACGAGCAAGTTGTCCTTCTGGATGCCTGACTTCCTGAAGAAATCAAGTTTCTAAAGTGGAACCGAGGCAGATGTTGATGTAGCCATGTGCCGTCATATAAGCAAAGGTCCCGTGTGAGCAGATAGACTAGAGTGAGGATATCAAATGGTGTTTTAGGAACTGTACTCTTGAGAAAATAGCATACTACATCCTTTTCTTGGGTACAATATAAATATTTCAAACACCATTAAAACATGGTTGATTGCATCAAATCAGACCCCAAGCCACAGACAAGTAAAGATAGGTCTGTGGTACTCAAGGGAAGAGGTCAAATATTTAGAGTCTATCATTGAGGAATATGCTAAAATAGCATTTATGTATGAATTCTGTAAGATGGATGACATGTGTATACACTAGAATTTATAATTTTGTCAGAGGGCCAAGTGCAGGGGCTCATGTCTGTAATCCCAGCACTTTGGGAGGCTGAGGCAAAAGGACTGCTTGAGCCCAGGAGTTCAAGACAAGCCTGGGCAACATAGTGAGAACTCATCTCTAAAAAAAAAAAACAAAAACCAATTAGCCAGAGATTGCTTTCAAACATGCAAACAAACAATGTGCGGCAAAGCCAGCGATAAGGCACACTGAAGGGATTTTGAAAAATGCCTTTGATGGAGATTACAAAGGGGAAGTCATCTAGTTTCTGTACATAAAACACAGCGTGGTCAAATATAAATTTGTAAAACATCATAGATTTTATGATCTGGAACAGCTTTTAGGAGTTACCTGGGGCATAACTGTTAGACTACTTAGCATTAACCACACGTCCAAGCAAGACGGAACACACATGCATTCTGAAACTCAACATTTCCTCAGAATGGGGTGGGGACTGAACCTTTACACAAAATGTTTACCATCTGTGTTGTGCCTTCCACATGCAGAATCAAACAGAACCCACAAACAGTCAGAGAAAAAGTTCTTAAATTGGGTGGTGGGCTCAAGGGTGTTCACTATATTATTATTTATATGCTTCTATGAATTATTAACAATGCAAAATAGATAATAAAAAACACAAAAGGAGATTTGTAACGCACAAAAAGAGAAGTTAAAGAAGCACAGGGTAGAGGAAAAAATAAAAAACAAAGACAGTTGGTAGGAAATACAATACAGTTAAGGTTCAAAAATGTTAAAAGTAGCATTTTAAAATCTGGATAACAGAAAACACATTTTCCTTTAAAAATTGGATCATATTACCTCTACTTTTATGAGACTCCTACTATGTGACTTCCTTTTATAACATGATTTCCTGGTTATACACACATACACACACACACACACACACACACACACACACACACACACACACACACACGCACACACATGTGCCTCCCTCCCTGTTACATTTCAGCCCATCACAGCACTGCAGAGTCTGTAATAGTTTTTCAATTGGACACATTCTCTATCCTGCCTGAGGGTGCTCAGGCGAAAATGAACAGATTTGCAGGGTTAATATTGTCGTTAGACTGTGACCTCATTCAGCACGGCTCTAATACTGCCAGGTCTACATAGAAGGGGAAAAAAATGAAAGCGTAACTGATCGGCTGAAGGATTCCAGATTTCTCAGAATATAGACCATTCACATTGTAAGTTATAAATGCATGGATATCACTGAATTTAAAATTAAACCAGTGTTTCTTCAACTAGGGGAGGGGGGAGTGGGGATTAACCCTTAAGGGCAAGGATTAAACTGTCCTCCTTTGGGGATACCTCTTGGCTCTTCTCCTAGGCTCTCTCCCATGCGGGTGCTTTCCTTGTTCTGAAGGCATCTCCCAGCTCTGCTCATTTCTAAGGCATTAACTGATATTAGCAAACAGATTAAGGGCTAGTTTGTAAGAACTTTTTTTTTAAGAGACAGGGTCTCCTTCTGTTACCCAGGCTGGAGTGTGGTGGTGCAATCACAACTCACTGCGACCTCGAACTCCGGGGATAAAGCAATCCCCTGCCTCAGCCTCCTGAGTAGCTGGGATTATAGGTGTGAACTACCACTCCTGGCTAATTTTTAAAAGAAGTTTTCTTAGAGATTGTGTCTCGCTATGTTGCTCTGGTTGATCTCAAACTCCTGGCCTCAAGTGATCCTCCTGCCTCAGTCTCCTGAGTTGCTGGAATTATAGGCATGAGCCACTTCGCCTGGCATGTAAAAACTTTTCAAATCCACTGGCTGGGGTTGGGGGAGAATATTTGAGGATAAGAGGCTTGGTGCTTGTCATGGACATTGGAGTTGACATTCGATACCTAGCCCACCAACCCCAGATGCTTAATCTAACACAATTGTGGCAACCTCCTCTCTTTGCCAGTAACTGAAGCTGACATTTTCTTGTCTTTACCAGGACACTGAAGTTCAGGATGGGTGCCTGGTACCTGTGGCTGCCATCTCCCTGGAGCCTAGGGATGGCATCAATGCCCAGAATGGCATTGCTGTGGGCTGGAAAGAACCTGGATCTGAACCGACATTGCTGAGACACCAAACCAGCCACGCTGAGCCTCCTATCTCTAGATTTCCTATCACTTGGGAAAATACATTTCTCTCTCTCTCTCTCTCTTTCTCTCTCTCTCTCTCTCTTTCTCTCTTTTTGAGACAGAGTCTCACTCTGTTGCCCAGGCTGGAGTGCAGTGGTATGATCACAGCTCACTGCAGCTTCAAACTCCTGGACTCAAGTGATCCTCCCTCCCCAGCCTCCCAAGTAGCTGAGTCTATCATAACATGCCACCACACCTGGATTTTTTATTTTTTTGTAGAACCAGGGTCTCACTGTGTTGCCCTGGCTGGTCTCGAACTCCTGTCCTCAAGCAATCTTCTTTTCTTGACCTCCCAAAATGCTGGGATTACAGGTGTGAGCCACCTTACCCCAGCCAATTTCTATACTTTTAAAGCTGGTTTGAGTCGGGATCTGTCACCTGTCTTGGTAAGAAACCCTTCCCGTAACATGGCTGCCTCCTCGTGAGGTCCCTCGGCTTGGGCTGCCTTGGCCCGCAGTGCCAGGCACAGATGCCCACAGAAATGCAATGGCATCTTCTCTCCTGTCTTCGCCATGCTTGAGCCCAGCCTTCCCACCAGTCTTTCCCTTCCATCTCTCTCCCATCACCATGTCAGTTCGCACATGTCTTTCAATGTTACTTCTGGAGAAGGGAAAAAACCATCAACTTTAACAGGAAGAGTGCCAATGACTTGGATGTGCCCTCACGTTGCTGAAGAATCAGCTCAGAGCACTGAAGTACATTTCTGGAAGTTGGTCTGACAGAAAGCTGTCTCTGACAAATCCTACTCTGGAACAGACTCCTTGCCCAGGGAGAGGAGCCCTGCCCTGACATGAAGTTACTTCTTTTCTTTGTAGCCCATTGCTCCTTCCTGAACAACTTTTATTAATGTCTCTCACGTGCTGGGAGTTGGCGAACAAGACAGACAGGCCTCTGTCCTCACCAGGCTTGCTGTTTAGTGGGAGAGAGACCCTGAAACAAATGACTACTCTCAGGGCAGGGGAAGGTCAGGTTACTATGGTCACTGAATGGAAGAGACAGTTAAGTTGGGTTCGGAGACTGAAAGGGACAGGGCAGGGTCGCTATAGGCAGTCTACACTGAGAAGTCACCACATACTAGAAAGCTGGAAGGAGGGTGCCAAGCAGTAATGCCAAGGCCCCAAAGTAGGGAGCATATGGTACATTCTGGAAATTAGAAGTTCAACATAGTGTGAGAATTCAATCACTTCTTTTTTTTCTC